TACCATCATACAAAAGTTGTGTGCATAACTTACCTTAGTCCTTACAGATTTCTATAGGAATGAAGATTCCTAAACAGCAGAGCTCCTTTCCCTTAAGTAAGCCAGAATCATCTGTCTCTTTCCTTACTGAACTTTCAAACTCCATTAAGATACAAATTCACTGCTATAAAATGGCTATAAAACTTGAGACCTAGCTGTAGGTCTCAAGTAGCTGTAGCTAGGTCTCAAGTTTTAAACTTATGCCACTATTCAGGAATTACACTAGCAGATGGTGGGAAAAACATTACTTTGTTAATCAGAGATTATGAGATGTTATTCCTTTGAAGAAATCACAACAGTCTCACTCATAATTAACTGACACTGAATATTCCCCAAATAATGTACTTTTACTACAGAACAGAGGCCACTCACTTCAAACTCAAGTTGGTTACTTAAGGCCGTCTCACTAGGTGTACAAGCCATACCCAGAATTATAACCTAGATTTTGGTATATTCATTTATAATATAGAATGATGAGGTAAATTTATACTGTATTTGCACCAAAAATACACTACAGCTGAGGCAAAATTTCCCTACAGGTTAATTGCCAGTAACCCTACTTACTTATTGTGAGACAGCTAAGAAAGGCGATAACTGATCTATCCTTCTTGAGTCTTCCTCTGCATTGTAGTGTCCTGTTTCAGATTAACACCTTACTTTAAAATCTTACTGGTTTAGTTTGAGTACTTTTTCCAGATTAATCCATAAAACAGTGAAGACTGCACTTAGTGAACAGTAAAATGTCATTACTACGCAGCAGCAACAAGAGGCTGAAGCCTAGCTCAGTGTTACAAAATGGGATATAATCTATATATATGCACACATTGATTCAAAGCTCTTCCATCAGGAGCCACCAGAGTTGTTTCAGATGGCATTCATTTGCTCCAACAAGTGGTTTCAAGCTGATTGCAGCATACACACAAACTGAAGACAGACTTTCTGTAAAACTTCCTCAATTCTTACTGCCAAGTACTTTTACTGCTACAACTCCTGAGCACCTTGCAGGCGACTGACTTCAGCGAAGGCCAAGGCCACCTTACAACATTAATGTACTGAGTGTGGGATATGCTCATTTACAAATATCACATGCCGGGGGTGGGGTGGAACAAAACAGAAAACAAAACAAACAAAACAAAACAAAAACCAAAACTTAAAAGTTGTATTTGAGAGTCTTGGGTCATTAGAAAAAGATAGCAAATTACCTCCCTATAAATGTACCCACTCTATGATCAAATCTAGAACTGCATTAAAATTCCCAGTGAACGCATTACTGGAAGCCAGTACACACACTAATTTCAAACTGTGATGGATCACAAAACATACTTAGGGATGAGATGCTCTTTCATAACAAACTCCAAGATGTGCATGTCCCTTCACAGCAACCTTGCCCTGTAAAAGGCCACATCCTGCCTTTGACATAGGTGGATCCTATTCACTTCAAAGTGAATTTAGTCTGTCTAGTGATGGACAGGATACGGACTAACATGTTTGTAAATATTTTAATGAAGTGGTAGTCTGAAATCTCATCTTTGACTGAGAAATGCTGTGATAAACAGGGCCAATATGAGAGTTTATTGTTTGCACAGCCCTCATACCAGACTATTACTGCAGATACTGGCAAATAAATGACAGGAAATTTCCACCGCAAACATGGTATAACTGATGTGACTATAGAGTGTCATAAAGAGTTGCAGAATGGGGCAAGTAATTATTAAAAATGTAACACACATTTGCTATGTTGGGTTTTTTTATAATTAACAATTAATGTTGAATATGAAGGTTCATTTATACCATATAAAATGCTGATACTGCAGTTAATTAACTTATCATATCATCACCAAATTCAAAGGTGACAGAATAGCAAAACTCCAAGAAATTCTTCTGGTTCTGAAGCTCATGTGGCAGAAATCTGAAAATAAGTGTGATACAAGAATCCACAGAGATTTTTTTCAGTATTAAGAAAGAAGCTTTGTATTAGCACCACACATCAAATGAAACCAAGCAGCTGAATAAACTACTACCAGCAAGGCTCTATCATACAATGTTGTGATTTAAAAGAGAAAGCATGTTCTCTAAATGTAAAGGAAAAAGAGAAGAAAGTACATAGTGTGCAGACTGACTGACAGGATGCTCTTTGCGAACCCACTTTCCCTCTCCTCTCTTCGCAGTCTCTCAGACCCACTTTCTCTCCATCCTCCCTCTATCCCTCCCCAGTTTCACCCTTCTCTCCTGCGTTCTCTCCTACCCCCTTCTAGTCCCCTCCACAGCCCTCTTCCTTCTTCCTCATTTTAGCTAGCACTTTTTGAAACACAGTCTTCCCTGGCAGTGCTCAAGGCCAGACAGGACAGGACCTTGGGCAACCTGGTCTAGTGGGAGGTCTCCCTGTCCATGCGAGTGGGGTTGGAACTAGATGATCTTAAAGTCCTTTCCAACCCTAACTATTCTATGCTTCTATGAAATGAATAAATAGTGAAGACCCAACAGGTATTTCCATACTATATTCTTCCCACTTTTCATCTTTCTTTCTTTTTTATGAGACTGTGTATCTTCTGGACCCCTAGGTTTCCAGCTACATTCCTGTGAAATCATTCAGGCAAATATGTATTGCAAACTACTACTAATACCAAGAAATCAAACTGTAATGTAAAAAAGACACCAAATAAAGACACAGCAACTAAAATACACATTGAAAAACAAGGTATACCAAGGTATGTGAAGGCCAACTGCTTTACCCTATATGGATCACAACACATATGAACATCTAAGAGGACAGACTTGCTATTCCTTTCTCTTCTGACAGGTGGATCACTCAGTAGATCATTTTCCTCAATCATTTCTAATGTTGCACTTTGGCCAGCACCATCAAGCAACAGGTGATTGCCAGGGAAAAAAAACACTAATAATCAATGCCTTAATATATCTTGAAGCAGTCCCTAAAATTATGTTACAACAGTGTTCTATAGAATAAACATGAAAGGGAACCTTCCTTTCCTAGAATTTTCCAAGCAGTCACCCTGTAGCTCTTTATAGTGTATTGTACTTTTTGTTTTTTGGTTTTTTTTTTCTACCAAAAAACCCACAAATGATCTGGGCTCCAGTACTCTTACTGTTCATGAAGAACTACATATTAAGAGTTCTGGCACACAATCTGAAGACAAGAAACCATCTTTCAAAGCTGAGCACTCACTCTTGCGCTGATTCCTCTTCCTTTGATTCCCTCCACCACAGCTGGGATTCTGGGCACTTCTTGCAAAGGACATTGTAACAACATCTCTCATGTAAGAATGGCATCTGTAAGAATGAAGCTGCCAATGTGCTAAGACACACTGGAATAGGTTCAATGTAAAAATGCTTCTAAAATGCAATAAACCTTCACAATAGGATGCTGGTGTTCAGAACTAAACTGGCCTTAGCTTCATCCTCTCAAATTAATCCTCCTGCACTCACTGAGCCAGGAGAATTCTGCCGTGACAGGCAATCCTCAAACCTTCAAAACTTGCTCTGCCACCCAGCTTCCTTCTGTTTAGCACCAGGGATCTCTCTGATCAAAAGTCTAAAGCATTTCTGCAAAGCAGGTTCAAATATACAGTCTAGAAAAATAAGTGGGCTTTTCTTTTCTCATTTCTGTATGTTTATGCATCTCCCTCTCTCTCCCAGAGACTAAATAAGAAAGTAAACAAAAAAAACCAACCACCCTATACAACTAAAACCAAGTCTCACCGCTTCTGTAAGAGGCAAAAAATACGGTGGGGGTGTGGAAACAGTCTGTTTTGAGCCCCAGAACAGAACTGGAAAAACCTCTCTCACTCTTTTCTGGATGGACCACAGCTGGTTTTAGTCACAGGAAAAACAAAACAAACAGAAAATCCCAAAACACTCTGCCTCAAATGCTGGCAGTGAAACTGTAGTAGAATAATCTCCAATTCAATGCAGAAAACCCAGTCAAACAGTGGAAAAAAAGCAGTAACCTAAGGAGATTATCAACCATGACCAGTAGTTTTTAGGTTTTATATATTCTTGATATTATTTTAAGAAATGCAAAACTATATGAATGAAAGAATCTAAATAATAAGTTACTGAATAGCTTGATGAAAATTCAAATGAAGATAAAGCTGCCATAGTTTATAATTAACAGTTTTACACAGGAAGAGTGAGACAAGCACGCAGAGAATAGGTAAGCCTGAGCAAACTGCATACAGTGGCAGAGCAACGCTCCTCCACTTTGCATTAGTCTTTTTAATTTCTAAATTATTCTTCATAATGAAAATATTACTGAATAATAAGAATCAAGACAAATAATATCAAGGAACTAATTTGAGGTACACATACTGAAGTTTCCGAGGTTTTCCCTCACCTTCTTTTTTTCCTCACAAACTCATGCAAGGACTGTTAATTTATGCTTTAAAGCTACTAGACAAAAATCATTCTGTTTCTTCTGTGATGAAGTATACTAGCTTCCAAATTTACTTTTACTAGTATTCCTGGAAAAGCTAAATCTGCTTGGTTTTTTTTGTCTACAATATTCACAGTAAATTGAATCTTCCCTGAAAAGTCAGCAAAGTCTCTCAACTTTAGCAAACTGAAGTTTACTCCTTTCAATCATTGTAACATTAACACAGACTACAAGAAAACATGTAACAGTCATACAGAGCTGTGTAATTTCCTAATCTTAATCCACCTCCTTCCCAGACACCGTTCTCTTTCTTCCCTTTCTTCAAGGAAGGAGGCTGGCCCAGGCAGCCTCCAATCTCTGTTACCATTGGTGCCGCATGTTCAATTTCCCTTAGCTGGCAATGAAGAAGTAGCTATGCACTAGTAAGCAAATCTCTGTGGGCTACAAGAGCTTCAGAGATAATCCAGGCTTCACATTCCATTACACTAAACTAGACTATGTATCCAGCAGAACAAATGCATGTTTAAGGAAGAACAAAAGGTATAATCTAATCTTTTCTTTGAACCAAATTTCCCAGGATTTCTTAATCCTTACAACAGATAATAATCAGATTTCATCATATAAATGCATTCTCTTCATTGAAATTTTAAGTATTGTATTTATTTTGAAAGCCCTAATGGAAAATCTGCTGCTGCTGCAGGATGTCCTGGATGATGCCAGTAACAGGTTATATTCTTGGTGTCATGTGTGTAAGAGTAAGTACTATACAAGCAGGAAAGAGAATTAAACACAAGAAAAAGCTTGTTTAAAACTGACAAAATTCACCAGACAACAAAAACTCCATGTTATTGTCTGCTACATTATGCTGTTAGTGGAAGAAACGGTTCCAGTGCACACACACTGTGCCAAAACAAGCTAGTTAAATAGGTGCCTCATTCCTGTGAGGTTACTTAGAAAGTGTCTGAATCAGATCTACACCTTACCAAAATTATATAGCATAGCAAGTGAAAGAATAGATGAATTAATTTAGGCTGGTGAAAATCCTCTTTCCTGGGTTTACTGTTTTCAGTAAGGCGATTAAAAAAAAAAAAAAAAAAAAAGGGGAAAAAAAATGTCTCTAAGGAACATGATTCTCCAACCTCTGTCTCTAGGTCCAAAATCTCTCCTATGAGAAAAAAATGTTTTCCCAGGCTCAGAGGACCACATCTCTGAATCTAAGGAACCAGGTCCCAGTACAGTACTGAACCAGATCATATCCATAACGGTATCACTTACTAGATGCAGTCAATTCCCAGCTAGTCTTCATTGAATAATGCCATACGGTCCTTCAATGAGACTCTATGAGCATGTAGGTATCAAAACCATAGCTTCTACAGTGGCTCTGACATTAGCCAAAGCCATCTGCCACTGCAGGTCCTTGACAATAACTCTGATTTCTCTAATAGGCCAGAACCACATGCTACTGCATGCCTGTCCAACCATCTGCATCCACTTACGAACTTGATATTATCCCTCACCATTGCATAGACTGGTTTAGATTTACATCCCAACAGGTACTTCCACAATGGCAAATTAAATCCCTAAATTAAAGTGATCACTGAATTACATAACACTTGCACACACCTAGTTAACATGTATCATCCTTCCTTCAGGCTTAAGCGTCCCTTATACCATTCTCCACAGCTGCTAATATCAAACACATAGTCATTCAATGTGTTTTAGGTTCAAATTTTTAAGTTGAGACTTAGACTTCGAACCTACAACCACTGCCAAACCTCAAAGAAGCCAGGATCTTGTACAGCGAAACTAAGAAACAGATTAAGAGTTTAATGCTAAGGAACTAAGCAGGAGCCAATCAGCTACCGGTACTGAATCCTTAGTAATTGTAACAGCTGAAAGACCTCAAAGACACTTGTATTATTATGTGAACAGCAAAACTAATACTGAGATAGAAGGCATAGTGCAAACTTACAACCTAGCCAAGAAATACAGGTATATTATAAAAGAGAACTGTTTTCCAGGACACTTGGGAAGATTCTCAGAAGACTGTAAGTATACAAAGTAACTATTACAAATTTCTCATAGGACTTCAAAAGATGCCTGTGTCCAGTAACATGCAAATACAGTAACTTGGAATACAGTAATACACACCCATGTGAACTGGCAAAAACTAAACAGGATTTGTGGTCATGAGCTCAATGAAAACCATGATAACCTGAAAACAAAACCACCATTACTGACATATTGACATTTGAACTCAAAAGGGCAAAGCAAGAGAAAACCCACACTTTTCCTCCCACAAAAAAAGTAAAATAACTTGTAGCAAAAATCATCCTTTATACTGTGGCCCCCAGGGAATATAAGCATATATCAAGATGTTTATTATCGCTTTCCTGCAGCTGTTATAATAAACTTGGCACAGCTGGATGAATCTTACCAAATAGACAAAAAGGAGAATAAGTAAGCGTTCCCAAAATGCAAAGTTTTAATCCCCCTAAGTAAACGACTGTAACTCAGATCTAGAGGTTACGGTTTGCAGTGAAGAAAAATATAGCCTCCAGACCCACAGAGGCACTTGGGGTCATATATAACAAGTCCATACCTAACCTTTTCAATGTAATTTATAGATAGCACTTAAGAAACTACTACAAAACCATACTCCAGAGCCAGAAGTTACAGACAAACAGCCAAACAACAATATCAGAGACAAAATATATCTGGTAAAAATTACTTCTGTAGTCATTTCCCAGGGACACAGAAACGGTATCATGGGTGGCCCATCAAAAAAACAGCAGTCACAGGTAGTCAAGAAAAAAAACCTGGATCTGGAGAAGGCTGAGTTCTTAATGACTTCTTTACCTCAGTCTTCACTGGCAAAGGCTCTGACAGCACCACCCAAGTCTTGGAAGGCAGACGCAGGGACTGTGAGAATGAAGACCTGGGGCCCACTGTTGGAGAGGATCTCATTCAAGACCATCTTAAGAACCTGAACGTACACAAGTCCATGGGACCTGATGAAATCCATCCATGGTCCTGAAGGACCTGGCAAATGAAGCTGCTAAGCCATTGGCCATCATATTTGAAAAATCATGGCAGTCAGGTGAAGTTCCCGATGACTGGAAAAAGGGAAATATAACCCCTTTTTAAAAGAAGGGGAAAATGGATGACCCAGGGAATGACAGACCAGTCAGTCTCACCTCTGTGCCTGGCAAAATCGTGGAGCAGGTTCTCCTGGAAGGCATGCTAAGGCACATGAAAATCAACAAGGTGGTTGGTGACAGTCAGCATGGCTTCACTAAGGGGAAATCCTGCCTGACCAAATTGGTGGCCTTCTATGATGGGGCTACGGAACTGATGGACAGGGGTAGAGGAGTTGATGTCATCTACCTGGACTTGTGTAAAGCGTTCGACACTGTCCCACACGACATCCTTGTCTCTAAATTGGAGAGACATCAATTTGATGGATGGACCACTCGGTGGATAAAGAAGTGGCTGGATGGCCGCACACAAAGAGGTGTGGTCAAGGGCTCAATGTCCAGCTGGAGACCAGTAACGAGCGGTGTCTCTGAGGGATCGGTGTTGGGACCGGTCTTGTTCAACATCTTCGTCACTGACATGGACAGTGGGATTGAGTGCGCCCTCAGCAAGTTTGTCAATGACACCAAGCTGTGTGGTTCGGTTGATACGCTGGAGGGAAGGAATGCCATCCAGAGGGACCTTGACACACTTGTGAGGTGGGCTGATGCCAACCTCATGAAGTTTAACCATGACAAGTGCAAGGTCCTACACCTGGGTTGCAGCAATCCCAGGCACAGATACAGGTTGGGCAGAGAAGAGATTCAGAGCAGCCCTGCAGAGAAGGACTTGGGGGTGCTGGTCGATGAGAAACACGAGACAGCTTCAGTGTGCACTCACAGCTCAGACAGCCGACCGTATCCTGGGCTGCAGCAAACGGAGCGTGGCCAGCAGGTCGAAGGAGGTGATCCTGCCCCTCTACTCTGTTCTTGTGAGACCTCACTTGGAGTATTGTGTGCAGTTCTGGTGTCCTCAACATCAAAAGGACATGGAACTGTTGGAACAAGTCCAGAGGAGGGCCACGAGGATGATCACGGGACTGGAGCACCTCCCGTATGAAGACAGGCTAAAAAGGTTTGGGCTGTTCAGCCTGGAGAAGAGAAGGCTGCGTGGAGACCTCATAGCAGCCTTCCAGTATCTGAAGGGGGCCTGTAAGGATGCTGGGGAGGCACTCTTCATTAGGGACTGTAGTGACAGGACAAGGGGTAATGGGTTAAAACTTAAACAGGGGAAGTTTAGACTGGATATAAGGAGGAAGTTCTTTCCTGTGAGGGTGGTGAGGCACTGGAATGATTTGCCCAGGGAAGTTGTGAATGCTCCATCCCTGGCAGTGTTCAAGGCCAGGTTGGAGAGAGCCTTGGGTGACATGGTTTAGTGTGAGGTGTCCCTGCCCATGGCAGGGGGGTTGGTACTAGATGATCTTAAGGTCCTTTCCAACCCTAAGTATTCTATGATTCTATAAAATTTGTTCTCAGAAATATCATTCCAATACTGAAATCTAAGGCAGAGGTTTTCTGTGGATTCTAAGTAACATGTGTTAGAATTCATCTAATCAAAGAAGCCCTCAGAGTGGTTTCTGAGGATTTCTCAGTGATCTTTCTCACCTTTTGAACAATTCTTGTATTAAATATTTGTAATACATAAGCATTAAAAAAATATTTCCACACATCTCCCTAGACTGCACATGTGAACACAGGTTCACGAGTTTTACAAAACAAAAACTGATAAAATATGCACTTTATTCCAGCATATAGCCACACCATTACTCCTAGTAATGGTGAATTACTAAGTAAAACAGATAATAGTTAGGGATTGAACTCTAAGTCCAAAGTATATTCAGCTCAGTGAAGCCATTCAACTGCTTTAACACATGCTACATACACACTTTGACAAATCATGCAGTTAGGATAAAATTTATTTACTGATCTCCTTGAGAATGGCCCTAATGAAAACTGTCAAATGATCAAAACTACAGTCTGATTACAGCAAATTTAGTAGCAGAGAAATGCTGAGCTTCAAAATGCCCAGTAGCTCCTCCAGAAAACATTTAAAAAACAGACTCACACGACAGCATACTTTCCTCAGAAAGTGATAAAAGATAGAGTGCCCTAATCTGTTCAAAGCAGCCACATACTAGTTCTTTACGCTAGATCGCAATAGGATCAATACATCATCTCTGTATCTTATCTGGTTTCTTAGGTCATCATTCAGAAACATCTGAATTAAGGCTTGAAGAATGCCAGTGAAATACTGTACCACCATTCCCTTGCCATTATCATGATGCTTCTATCAATCCAGAAATACTTGTTGCATTTAATGTGTGTCTCTCTACCTCAGATACAAGCTCTAAAGTGTGAAATACTTCACATACACGATTTGCAATAAAAAGACTGCAAGTACTAAGCAGGTTCCTCTGTTTTGTCTGCATTTCACAGGGTGCCAGCTGTTTCTCCACATAGCCAAATATAAAACACAAGTAACATGCAATCCCCAAAAAAGATCCTTTGTTTATTATTAACCTGAGATTTCCAAATGTCCAGGTATTAAAGACAATCAGCTGATCAGAACTG